ACGTTTCAGAACAAACAGCAAAGATTTATACGGTGTCATTGCGCTGTTGGCCTTTTCGAATTGTTCATACAGTTCTGTGAGAAAACTTGGTAGTAGTCTAATGATCGACGATACCTTGTGGGTCACCGATGTTTCTAATGGGGCCGGAAGGCGATTGATTGTGTTCGCTTTCTTGACTGCTTCTTGGGCCTTTCCCATGTTTTTATGCATATGGTTGCTTCCTTCATGTTCGTTGAATTTACTGTCAAATGTTAAAAGACGTACAAGTGAGAAACTTTCTTGCACAAATGCGTTTGAGGACTGCCTGTAGGATGTTGCAGTCAAACCCAGCGGTGAAGAAATTCTTCCCTTGTATCCGCTACCTCGAAGACAGTGCGGTGGCGAGTGAGCCGTCGGTAATAATCAGCGCCCAGAAGTGCATCGAAGACCTGCAGTCGCTGGTGACGTTCATCTTCGAGGATAAGAACCTGCTTCCTGCAATCGAGTCCATGTCACAGTTGCACATCTACCGTAGTGCGGGCAAGGTCATGTGCAAGGTACGCGTTTGCCTTTGCAAAGATATGAACGGACGTGTATGAACCCTATTTTGTCTTAGGAGTTTCTAACCGAGTTTGAAAAGCATCTCGAAGAAGTTCCATCTGCGACGCCTGAAGAAGTCCGTGATGCGTGGAAGGTTCTGTTCCTGATCATTGAATCATATGCCAGTTCGATGACTTGAAATGTTCTGTTCTTTATGATCCGTGATCAACGCGCTACGTCATTAGAATTACAAATTTAAAGATCATATCTCATCTGCAGGTGTTTGACCCAATGGAACGGTTCATGAGTGTTGGGAGCTACAATGAAACCCTGCTTACCTAAGCTCTTTTGACTTAAACAATACCTAATACATGAACATAAATAATGAAGTATCTACCTCTCCCTTATGGCAAAATCTATTTATGTTTCCGACAAATAGAAAAACGTAGTTGATAGCATCTTGTCAAATTTGTAAATCTGTATAAATGCATGCTTCCAGATCAAGAAGGCTTGCAGCATCAGCCGATACGTTAATCCTGCACCAATATTTCAAAAATTGTAAATAAAACCGTTCTACGGTCCGCATTGTCAAAACGAATTATGCAACACTCATGTTATTCATCCTTTTTGGCATATGCAAAAATCATAAGCAAGGAGCCAGGCATTTACAGACTTTGTGTTAAGTCAAGAATCAAGAATCTGTCACCATGTTCCATACAGTCACAATTCGCTTTGATCAGTCAGAGAAGTCACTGTCATGAATTAACTGTGCAGTCGAGATGGCCGTTTAGAAGCGAGCTTTGTGGTATGATATTTCTTCGTGTCCGGTAAATACCGAAGTGGTTACCAATTTGTTGTTCCGTGCCGGCTGCCGGAGTGCGCTCCTCCAGTCAGTGTTTTCTGAACCACGTCGACTTTCAAATCTCACTGGTTCGCTGATGAAATAAATGATTTATTTGAGCCATTACACTAACTCAGTTGTGAGTCAAATTTTCTTTAGCAACCCTTAACTCAAGCAATAAGTTCCCAAACTTAGACATAGCAAATTGGCTAATACAAAGAAACAAACAAGCAGTAAGAAATTGAATTTTTATCAGGATGACCAGAGTCTAGATTGAAACAACTGTTCTGTAATCTTGGGATCGATCATTCATCGAACAGCAAAACGGGATGACTGATTTTTGGCTGACCTCAGTCGAGCCCTGCGCAAGAACGCTCGCCTCCGCACGTCATAAGACAAAGGCACACTTTGCATCCTCAAGCACAACCACCAGGTCAGCGGGAATTTGTCGCCGAGGATGAACAAAGCATCCGCAGCTAAACAACCAATCAGCGTTGAAACCGGGAGACTATTTGGTAGATATGAAGATTGTGATGTTTCTGGTAGGCAGTTGTTGCAATTTGTATGTCCCGTGTGTTTGCAGGTAAAGCCCTGTAACAGGACTCTGCCTCCTCTTTGACAGCAACGCCCAGCCGGTTGCAATAAGACACTTTTCAGTTAGAGGAAGATGATTTTAAGAAGTCCAGTAGTGAACTATGCCGGGTTACAGATTTTTCAATCTGAAAATTTATTTTAAACAGGCGATTGCC